GTTCTGGTCCTGGCCCCCTGCCTGGTGCCGGGTCCTCCTTGGCCCCAGTTCTGGTCCTGGCCCCCTGCCTGGTGCCGGGTCCTCCTTGGCCCCAGTTCTGGTCCTGGCCCCCTGCCTGGTGCCGGGTCCTCCTTGGCCCCAGTTCTGGTCCTGGCCCCCTGCCTGGTGCCGGGTCCTCCTTGGCCCCAGTTCTGGTCCTGGCCCCCTGCCTGGTGCCGGGTCCTCCTTGGCCCCAGTTCTGGTCCTGGCCCCCTGCCTGGTGCCGGGTCCTCCTTGGCCCAGTTCTGGGCCTGGCCCCCTGCCTGGTGCCGGGTCCTCCTTGGCCCATGAGCTTCATCTCGCTTGAAAGTTTGTGAACTCTGTGGAATGTTCTGGATTTCTGCATCAAGATTCATTCAACCTTTATTTCTAATATGACCGAAAACATCTTCACATTTTCACACACGTCCTAAAAAGAGATCAAGAGAACCCAGTTCAACAAGTGAGACAAGATTTTAGACTTTTCATCAAATTATTGAGGACAATGATCAGATTACAAATCTGTGAGAGGTCAACCTCTGGGATTATCATCCATCTGAAGGTGAAATTACACTCAGGGCTTTTCAATCCCTCTGTGCGACCCCTGCGTTGCGCCTCCTCTCATGTTGTTCAATGTTTTATGTTATGAGTGCTTAGTGTATATTTAGTTGATGTTTTTCTTAGTTCATATCTTAGATGTTATTACTGTTTTTCTTATACATTTTATTGTTGGATGTAACTGGGACCCTGTGGACATAATTTCGCTCCACCACATGTACCACACGAGGTGCGAATGACAATAAAGAAACTCTGACTCTGACTCTCAGGACTCCTGTGTTGCGCCTCTTCTCAGGACTGTGCAACTCCTGCGTTGCACCTCCTCTCAGGACTGTGCAACTCCTGCGTTGCGCCTCCTCTCAGGACTCCTGCGTTGCGCCTCCTCTCAGGACTCCTGCGTTGCGCCTCCTCTCAGGACTCCTGCGTTGCGCCTCCTCTCAGGACTGTGCGACTCCTGAGTTGCGCCTCCTCTCAGGACTCCTGCGTTGCGCCTCCTCTCAGGACTGTGCGACTCCTGAGTTGCGCCTCCTCTCAGGACGCTGCGTTTGGTTGTGACTCATTGGCGAGGGGCCTTCAAGTGACCAGAACATTGGACCAGGTCGTGGAGGGGTCAGTCCTGCTGCTTCAATGAAGAAACATGTTTATGTAGAAAGATCTAACAGGAGGTCCTCCTTTGGCAGAAAGCACAGATTATAATAATCCACGATGAAGCAGATTACAGTCGGCCTTTCTTCCAGTAGATGAATCATAGTCATGTGAAACTGCTGAAGTCTGAGCACGTTTCCTGTTGCTGGACAACAGAATGATGTGAACGGCCACTAAAGGCTGTGGCTGTTGCTGTTCGTGCACATCACCACCAGACAGATTCCTAGTCTCTGGCACAAACACTCTAATCCTATTCCTAATCTCTGAGCAGTGAAAACCCCACACACTCCCTGCTGACACTCTGCAGGGAGACACTTCCTGTAGGTCCAGCTCCAGATCTTTCTGAGGAGGAGGTGGAGGAGTAGTGGTTCTGGTTCTGGGATGCAGAGAAGCCATCATCTGCAGAAACTCGGAGAGATGGTCTGAACAGGATCTGTGCTCTGAGCAGGGTTTGAAGACTGAAGTCCAGTTGTCCTGGAGTTTTTAAATAATAATCTGAACACTAAAGTTTTCATGTCAGCTAAATCCAGCAATTTTCAGTCAGATAATCTGGACAGTTTCTTTTTTTTTCTGAAACGTTTCTCCTTCCATCCAGAAGGCTT